GTCAATCATTTATGAGTATATAGAGTACGATCTGAAGTTTCTAAAAATTTACATAAATCTCTGATATTGAGTTCACTTATTATTATAATTGTATTGTTTTAGCAACTTTATTGATTGTTTTCATTTCATGTTTTCACTAAACATCTGTTTATCTGTATCATTTTCTAAGCTTTACGTTCTTAATCGTTGATTGCCATTATGATGCTAACACAACTACTAAATATTATATGACTTAGTGTGTGTACTTGTACTTACGCATCAACTGCAGACGTTATTTCGTATTTCACCGAGCATTAACACAGTAAACACCTTAGATAGCTCACAGATTGAGAGTTGTAAAATGTATTCCTTACATTGTCACTAATAATAGCATCGTATTTCAAACAAAACTTGGGTTTTGATTCTTGAATTCGATACTTCACTCGATCATTTGGAACAAAGCCTCTGACTATTTTTAAAGAAATTAACTGCGTAATTGGTAACAGAATCTGGTTAAAGGTTGGATAGTTTTTATGATGACACTTTCTACATATTTTCAGGGAAAGTTGGTGTTTGAAATATTAAAATTTCCCGCTTTTAAAGTATAAAACTGTTAATTCATGTTTATCATGTTTTCATGCGCAGAAGCTTTTCTAAAAAGAGGTTTTAACGTTTGCATATCCAGCTTATTTCACTGTGAAGTGTATATTTCATCTATCGTAGTACATTTCCTATTAGTTTATGATTTAATTACGACCATTTGGAAATAAAAAGATTGTCAGATTGTTTCATCTATGAAATGCGGCACAAATTTAATATGTACAATTAAACAAAAAAACATGAAGAACTTATAAAGATAAGCAGATCAAAGCTTCTCATAACTAGTTTTCTTCGACTTCATTTTAAGCCTCTATCAACTTTATTTCATTTTAATAGGAGGCTGTCGAAACTCTTAGCGTCCCACAGAAACTCACTCCCAAATGGAACAGTTCCAAGTTATTTAATGTTTCTTAGTGGCCAACACACTGTAAATCTGTTTATCATTAACGACATGAAAAAGAAGTCTGAACAAGAAGAGTCTTAGAATTACTTAGTTTATTCGAAAGGTGAACCAATCGAAAGCGATTGTGTAAGATTTAAATCGTGAATGAAGTGTCTAAGACGTTTTTTCTCAGTCAGTCCAGTTATATGTTCAGGGGTATGCAAATTTAGGCCATTTCCGAATTACGAAGATAAATTATTGGAGTCAAGCGGATTGAAGGGAGGATTAATCTGGCTTTACATATTAACGCAACAGTATGTTCACTCTCTTGCAGAAGGATGTAGTGTTCCCCACAAATACATGTAACTGATAAACTTGTGTTCTTACACATTTGAAACTGTGCCCCAATATAAAACTTGTGTTCATTATTAATATTTTGGTACATGCTCCGAGGTAACATATATGCATAAAATATCCCATGGTCTGGTTTAACTACTTTCCATTTGTTATGAATGTATTCTCTCAGCCCTGTTTAGTACTCAAATGTCATCAGTTTAGCTAGTGAAATCTTATGTTATCAAACGAATTACCTATAAAGCAGCTTTCATCCATCACCTAGTAACAAATTATATCAAAGAAAATTTGAGTCTCTGTGGTGTTTGAATGAACTAGTGACTTCTTGTTGTTGTTGAATGCTTGATTTCGAATTCTAAATACAATTCATTCGTTCGTGCTCATCTAGTAGTTCTTGATCCACTTACGTTGTTTCTTGGATTATTAGTTAATACAATAATTCAAATACTTCTAATCATCATACTGGCGTCGCGATGGAGCTTGTAATGGAACAGTTAGATATTCATTCAACTTCTGAAGCTTTTGAGGATTATTTGGAAAGGTTTGAAATCTGGAGTATTACCAAGAAAGATGTTAAAGATGATAAGATCGTGGCAGATTTCTTGACATTCATCGGAAGAGAAGGGTACAGCTTATTAAAAACTTTGGCATATCCGGATAAACCTATCTCACTTCCTTATCCAACGCTTAAGGAGTTATTAATTAATCATGTAAAGTGCCCTGGTTTTGAATGCCGTGAAAGGGCGGCATTTCATAAGATGACCCGTCAAAATGACCAAAAGGTTAAGGAATTCATTCTTGAATTGCAGAAACAAGCTGTCAAATGTAATTTCGGTGATCAACTTCATGTGCAACTGAGAGACCGATTAATCGCAGGAATTAACATACCTAGTTTGGAAAGAGAGCTGTTAAGAATGTCGAACTGTTCCTTTCAAGATGTTAGAACTGCGTGCATTAACTACGAGGCGTTGAATGAACGTGATACTCAGTCGATGAAGATTTCTAATACTTTGATTAGTTGTCATGATGAAATACAATCTCAGGGTCAATCGAAATTGTGTTCTTTTAACAGTGGTTCCTATTCTCGTGTAAATATGAACGGTGTTTCAATAAAGAATTACAAAGGAAATCACAAAGGTGAGACCAAGTTTGGCAAATGTTTATCATGTGGCAAACTTCATTCTCGTAATTCATGTGCATTTCGTAATGCTAAATGTTTTAGATGTGGTAAGATAGGACACATTCAAGCAGTTTGCAAAGCTACTGTTCATTTTGCCTCAAGTAGTACTTAATCTTGTAATCTAGATCCCAATAATTCAGCTGATCCTAATGATCATTTATCTTTGTCTACCATTTCTAATGGTAATGCTCATATTCAAAAGCGATAATATGCATCGCTTGGTTCATGGCATGACTTTATTGTGGACACAGGCAGTATAGAGTCCATTATTTCATTCAAGAACTTGAAATCTTTAGATACAAACGTTGTGTTACGACCCACTGAATTATCGATATTGGGGATTACTGGACACAGAATGCCTATAGGAGAATGTTGTGAATTGCTAATAAGAGATGATAATTCCTCATACATACCTTGTGAATTTTTAGTTAGCGAAACAGGACTGTCAATACTGAGTTTAAGGAATTTGAAAAGGTTTAAAGTGGAGTTGTCTTTCCTAGATTCTAAAGAAAATTCTGACGCTTTACTTAAAGATTTGATAGCCACGTGTGCTAAGTGCAGTGGAGGTATGAAAATTCAGCCTATAAAACTTCGAGTACAGGGTGGTCCAGTCTTTCTGAAAAGACGAATAATTCCTTTTGGTCTTCGAGATGCAATGCATAAGACGTTGATTGATTTGTGTGCAAAAGGCATAATTGAACCGGTTCAGTATTCTGCATGGGGTACTCCGATTGTTTCGCCACTGAAATCGGATGGCAAGACTCCTAGAATATGTGGTGACTATAGACTAACATTGAACTCCCGGTTGTTGAAGCAAACATGCACGACGGTAGAGGCTGAAGATATCCTAAATCGATTTCGTGGTTCTAAAGTGTTCTCGAAAGTTGACCTAAAAGATGTTTATCTTCAAATCCCTTTAGATCAATCCTCATCTGTTTTGACGACAATTAATGCTCCTTTTGGTCTGTTTAAATACAATTTCCTTCAATTTGGTCCAAGTTGTTCTCCAGCCATATTTCAGGAAGTTATGAATAAGGTGGTTAATGATCTTGAAGGTGTTGAAGTTCATCATGATGACCTGATTGCTCATGGTTCTGATAAGGGAGTTCATGACCAGAGACTGATTGCCTTATTGCATCGTTTGATTGAGAAGAATATTACAGTAAATCCAAATAAGTGTTCATTTTGTGTATCTAGTTTTGAATGTCTTGGATACCTAGTTGATGGTAATGGTTTTAGACCAGATATGAAATGACTAGCTCGACTGACAAATGCACCGTCTCCAAAAGATCTTACAGAACTACGTTCACTAGTGGGTGCTCTTCAATACATCTGTTTACTGCTCCCAGACATCCTTGTTCATATTCATGTTAACAAACATGAGCTTCAGACATCAACTAACATGATGGTCCCTAAACAAAGGCTCTTACTGTCGTTTCCTGTCTTCGTACGATGGTCTATTCATTCTAATAGATCACTGTTAAACAGATCTGAGAACATTTATATCACATACATTTCTACTACTTCTTGTAGCGTTATATTTGGACAGTGTTCAACTTTATTTAGAATTCTGGTTTTCACGTCAGCATCTTCCGCAGATAGCAGGCTATACACAAACACAAGACCCTTTAACTAATCTATAATTGCTGATAATCTAAAACATTCATATTTGTGATTTACGAGCCCTGCATACTTAACCCGGTCATCATAGACTTTCAATATCATAAGACACCACTAACGAATTGTAAACAAAGAGGAATTTTCACCGAAAATTTGAGAAAATATCACAGTCAAGTCTCTTGGGTTCTTCGTAAGCATAAAATCACTGTAATATTCACGACCGATCTTCAGATTTCTTAGATTTGTCAAAACCTTTGAAAAATGTAATAGAATATGTGAAGGATACATGCCACAAAGAAATCACCATCAGTAAAGTAAACAATCTGAAGTGTAGTCTCGTTGAACGTGTGTTATCAAGTATTTTGAAGCTGGCTACTTTCAAAATGACGTATTTAGAGTGCAACAGCAGAATATGGTGATCAGGGAGTTGGTTCAGAAGACACTGTTCACACCCAACTGAATCTTGCAACATACCGATCGACTAAATTATATGAAAGAATCTGAAAGTGGTATCGATTGGCTCAAAACACAATACAATTAAGGAAGTTTGAAAGATTTACTTCGTAAACATTGTTGTATATAACCTTTTTCCCGTTATTTATTGCTGATAAATGTCATGATCGCCCGGTGCTGTTTGCATTGTCAAAAAAGGAGTTGCCTGACAATATGACATGCAATTTGACATCATGGGAAGTATTTCAAGCACACAGATGTTTGTCATTCACTGTGCGAATTTGAAATGAGAGCCATCAGTGTCACACATAAACATAACAACATAATAATGTGCTCATCTCACTTTTAGTAAAAAGGCAAATATGACAGAAAATATTATACGTCTGGATTCAGGCTCAGTACCCAATGCCCAAAGTATATATTTGTTGACTAATGAAAACAGAAAAAGGTGAACATCAAGCTTTATGTTATCTTAATTATATAGCTTTAACCATAACTTGTGAGTGATGGGTGTTTTCAGTTTATTTGACCAGAAATTGGCTATGCCCTGGTACATGTGGGCTGCAGCTAACAATGGCAATATGATATCTAGTGAAACAAGATGCATGACACACATGTACAATGGATTTTTCTAGATAAAATGCAAGGATAGTCCGTAGGAAAGATAAAAAAATAATGACATCTGATAGAGTTCATCCTATAGACGTTACTCTGAGTTTAATCGTTCTATCCCAGCCTTAACTTGATTCACAGCGAAAGGGGTTTCGCAACAGAAACGGGAAACAAACCGGGTTATCCTGGAATACGGACTACTGAGTTATGTTTTTTGAGGATAAACAAGATCAGCTCGAGGTAGACTTAGCATCCAATGAATGTAACTGCATACCTCTGTAGTGGTAAACTTTTACGAAGAAAACGCAATTGCTGGAATATAAACATTTATTATTATACTTAATTCTGACAGTAATTGCTATATTGTACATCTCTTGTTTATCTGTACTAAAGACTATATCTCACGCGCCAAGCCTGTTATTCCCATTCTCTTCTCTTCATACGTCTCCGGCGTGAATGGGCTAGTATTAAATATACTCTTCCTCTAGAATCAACATTTTATTTGAATCTTAGAGTTTCGGGATTAACATTTGTTATCCCGCGAAGAAGTATATCATACGAATTTCTATAACTCTATCCATGTTGCCACATGTTAGCTAACCATTTGAGTAGACAAATGTTTACAGGTGAGTGCCACAGTTGTCAGAAAATTTATAATTACCAGTAATCTGTATGCTTAGACGTTGCCGGAGATGGCAGTCGGATTCCTTATTAATTGGGTATGATGACAATATTGTTCATTTTCTCAGACCATCCTAGGAGTTTTTTGTCGTGTTCAACCTGTTCCAGTTAACAGCTGAAGACTCTTGTAGGCACTAAGAGACCTCTCGTTCACCAAAGTTCTTTAGAAAGTAAATCATTATTTAATCAGATTGGTAGGAGCTAAGATTCAATGTAATAAGTATTAGCCCAACCACCTATTTTCGGCAGCATCAATGGCAAACAACAAACGTCGAATATCAGCATGGAAAATAATCCAATGTCCCATGGCCAAGACTGATAATGATATAGTTGCCCAACTCCATCTTAGAATTCGTTTACTTGTCAAATTATCCCAGGTGCAAAGCTAGTCAGAACGCTCTGTTGACGATGAACGAAAATAAATACCTCTAATTATGAAAGGTTAGCATAATATGTTAAGATTAACGTAAGATAGTAAATGTCCTTCCTCAAAATGCCAGCCCTTTCTATCAGACTAAGTTTTTGTGTGAGGAACATCGGTTCACATTATCCCTTTAACTAGAGGGAATAAGTCTTGACTATGGATAGTTAAACTAAACGTCTAGACCTGATAGTTAAAAGGCCAACGTTTATTAATTCCGTTCTGGCAATAGTTTGATTTTATTTCAAACGATTTTTGCTAGAATGGAACAAAACCCAGAATTAAGGGGAATTGATATTAAATTACATTTTCATAGGTATGCCAAATTTTAACTACAGAGACGTACATTTAATAACTATACTTGTTACTAAATGCCTTCAATTATGACCACAAACGCTTTACTGGAACATTTTGTGTTTTTTTAGGTTTGCTACAATTAAGATAAACTCTGTCTGGAGCCCCTTCGGGGCTACTGCCTTCCCAAGCCCGATAAAAGAGGAGGGTTAAGTATGAAGTTGTCGATCCCTGCCGGTAGAAAACAACTCTAATTAGAAAACATTACTCAAACAATTTTAACTCTGCCCTGGAAGTTAGAAATTCTTTATTCAGAAAAGTTATGACGTCTCATGATGAATTTCCACACTAGTGCATACACAAACCTACATGGATTTCACCAGATCACACTAATCAGAACTAGATCGGCCATATATCCAATATCAAATATCTTTTTCACGGGCTAGCGTAAACCAATTTGTTTTCTTCGCGCTCGATTCATGTTCTTTCGGTACTGTTTCAGGTGTTCGGTAATGTCCAATGGATGGAGGGCTAGCCACTTGACGGTCTAATTCTAGTCAGTTGGCAGTTGGTTGTGAGTTTGTATGTCTCGGGATTTGAATGAAAAAGTTTGTTTCAGGGCAGTAGGGTTTTTGGGAACCAGCAGCTATCGCATTACCACACCGGAAATCAGTTACAATCAGTTGCAATGTGGAGAGTAATAGGGATAAGAAGGATAAAATTCTATTGCTAATATGAATAAAATTTCAGAACTAAGTAGTATATAGATGAATTTAGTTTGTTAATTGTTAGTGGAGATTGTGAGAGAGGACCGTAGTGTAAGCAAGGGAGAGGAAACTATGATGATAGGCGAGATCGGTTAAGTAAGTGATCTGAGGAGATGGCAATGATAACAACTTGCAGGTCTCAAGATATGCATCATGAACAGCTGGTCCCAGAGGGAGATGATAGTCTGTATGTGAGTACGTGATTATCAAGTCTCTTCTTAAAGCTGTCTACTGAGGGGGCTGTGGTCGCATCGGCTGGGAGAGCATTCGAAGTTGCGACGACTCGCAATAAGAAAAAGTGTGTACGAATCTGAGACAGTGCCAACTACATTGGACAAAATGGAGTTTATCTTTTAGTCCACCATGAGTGGTGATGATTCGAAATACAACGATATAATTTTATACATCAGTGAGCAGACATAGTTGATGTGAAAAAATTCGAACCGGCATGTGTACGGAGATAAGTTTTTATAACCTTGAATTGACCCTGTTAATCTTTAAGCCACTTTATGGCTTAGGGTAATGTGATAATTTCCAGCGAGGGGGCTGTAACTACCTCGGCTGGGAGAGCATTCCAAGTTGCGACGACTCGCAATGAGAAAAAGTGTGCACGAATCTGAGTATTTGCTCTTTGATGTGCAATCTTTCGAGGATTACCTCGAGGGGAGTGGTGGTGATGCATCGGTAAGATGCTCACATTGGGATGGTTTGGCGTGTTTAATATGGTGTACGCCATAATCAGGTCACCTCTGATTCTCCTGTAGCTCAGTGGAGATAATCCCAAGGGATGGAGTCTATCGTCGTAGGGTTTATTTTTCAACCCTATCACCCATTTCGTTGCTCGTCTCTGCACTCGATCCAAGAGATTTATGTCTCTTTTAAGCAGAGGGGGTGCGATGACGTTGTGAACCTCCAAGTGTGGGCGCGCGTACGTCTTAAACAGGGTTAAAAATAATTTCGGGGTGATAGCACCAAGCTGTCTTTGCATAAAGTGAAGAGTCGCATTTGCCTTGGCTGTATCCCCTACATAGTTTGGACTGGTGTGGAGGCTTTCTGTGGTTATTAAACCGAGGTCGCGCTCTGAGTAGACATTAGGGAGCGGACTTCCATTGAGGGCATAGATCGTTTGAGTCATATGAGGCAGGAAATGCATGACGTGACACTTCGGTTGGTTGAATTTTAAACCGTTTTTCACTGCCTATTTCTCAATAGATATAAGGTCTTTTTGAAGCTCAGTCAAATCCTCTTCGCTTCCAATGGACCTCCATATCTTCGCATCGTCTGAGTTGATCAATGTCGGTGAGCTAACCAAGCCTAACAGGTCGTTAATAAATATCAGGAAGAGAAGTGGACCTACGATGGTCCCCTGTGAAACTCCCGATTCGGATACTCGCCAGCTCACGTGCACTCTATTTACCTTAGTACGGAACTTTCTATTTTCAAGGTAGTGTCTGAGCCAAGATAGGAGTGGGTCATTGAAGCCCATTTTCATAACCTTTTCGATTAGGCGTGCTGTGTCAAAGGCTTTTGCGAAGTCGAGAAATGCTACGTGCACTGGCATTTTATGGTCCAAGCAGGATGTCCAACTGTCCCATTCAAAGAGCAGATTAGATACACACAACCTGCCTTTCCGAAACCCGTGTTGAGCTTCATGGAGTATTTTATTCTTATCCATGTACTCCCTCATTTGTTCGTCCACCAGCACTTCCATAACCTTTGATTGTATTGGTAGTAGTGCGACTGGTCTGTAACAGGCTGGATCCTTTCTGTCTCCTCCTTTGAAGATTGGAGAGAGAGTAATTTGTTTCCATTCAGCTGGGAATTGGTGTGACTCTAGTGAATACCTGAACAGGTCGCATATCCGTGAACAGAGGACGTCTGCACATTGTTGTAAGACTATGGGGCGGATTTTACAACAACCAGGTGACTTACCTGGAAGTAAGGATTTTAGTTTCCTTATTACTCAGTCAGGAGTGGTACGGATGTTCCCTAAGCCGTCAGCTGACAATTGGTTAGCGTAGTACTCTGAACATATGGGCGCCTGGTTTAACTGGTCAGAAAAGTTGGTGTTGAAGATCTCGGCCATCTATAGGTTGGTTAGGTCTTCCCCGTTTGGTCCTTTGAGAGAACACAACCCTTGATTAGTAGGTTTTCTTTTGGACATGTACCCAAACAGATGCTTCGGGTTTGCCTGTATTTTGGCAGCTAGCTTCATCTGAAATTGTCTCCTACCACTTAGAACTTTTGTATTGCATCCCTTTCTCAATGCCAAGTAAGAACTGCGATCTGAATCCTTCTAGGAGACCTTCCACTTGTGCCAGGTTCTCCTCTTCGCCTGTAGCAAGCGTTCAGTGCCACGCCTAGACCAAGGTCTTTTCCGAGGTGCATATTGTGACTGAGGTTCATTGTTTACGACAGCGTTTGGATGATATCTCTCACCGTTTGCCTGTGATCATCTACTGTCGGCCTCCACCACTCCCGTGGCCATGGGTCATGTAGGAGGACCTCTCACATACGCTTGTAGTTTGCCCTAGTGTAGCAATGATAGGGCTCCTTATCGTCCTGTGTCAGTGTTTAGTTTATGATCATGTTAAACAAGTCCGTGCTATGATCACTACTACTACTGTGGGAACTGGCCAATAAAAAATTCAAAAGGACCATGGAGAACGTGAGAACCAAGAGAAGAGCTGGTATAGCCTCAGATCACCACTTGTATATCGCCAAAATGAAACTGAAACTCAAGAGGCACTGGAGGACGGGATGGGCAACATCACAAAAGTTTAATACGGCTTTTCTTCGGGATACCGTAAAACTCAACGAATTCAAGACGGTCCTCTACAAAAGTTTCGAGGCGTTGGACGATCTACTCAATGGCGATGAAACAGCCATGGAGAACAGTTGGAAAGGTATCAAGGAGGCAATCACTTAAACATGTCACGAGGTTCTGGGCCACAAGAAGTACCATCACGAGGAATGGATCTCTGATTGTGCTCTTGAAAAAAAAGAAGAAAGGAGGAACAAGAAGGCAGCAATCAACGTCAGCCAAACAAGATCAGAGAAAGTTAAGGCACAAGCTGAATACACAAAAGTAAACAGGCAATTGAAGAAGAGCATCGTGGTTGACAAACGAAAATATGTGGGAGATCTAACAGCGACGGCAGAAAAGGCTGCGAGAGAGGTAAACTTGAGACAATTGTACGATACAACGAAGAAACTCTCTGGAAACTATCTCAAGCTAGAACGACCAGTGAAAATCAAGGAAGCCAAAGTAGTCAGCAACACTGAAGAACAGAGAGTCAGGTAAGTAGGCCATATTAAAGAAATATTGAATCGACCAGCTCCATTGAACAAACCTAACATCGAAGCAGCATCCACGGACCTTCCAATTAATGTTGGCGCACTTACGACTGAGGAGATCAGTATGGACATCAGACAAAACAAGGGCGGCGAAGCAGTGGGACCAGACAGCATTCCAGCAAAGGCAATGAAAGCGGACGTAGCAGCAACTGTACAGATACTCTGAATTCTCTTCAACACGTTTTGGGATGAAGAACAAGTATCAACAGACTGGAAATAGGGATACCTGATCAAGATACCGAAGAAAAGCAATCTCAGCAAGTGTGAGAACTACACAGGCATCATCCTTCTTTCAATACCAGGCAAAGTCTTCAACAGGGCGTTTTTAAACAGAACGAAGGACTTTGTAGACGCCCAACTTCGAGATTAGCAGGCTACATTTCATAAGGACAGTTCGTGTACCAACAAAATTTCGAAATTCAGTTCATTTTGGAATCATCAATCGAATGGAACTCACCACTCTACATCAACTTCATTGACTACGAGAAAGCATTTGATAGCGTGGACAGGAGAACACCATAGAAACTTCTTCGACACTTCGGTGTGCTTGGGGAGATAGTCATAATCGTGCTCCGTATACAGTAGACAGCAGGACGCAGCTGAACGACCTAGACTTGGCAGATGATTTGGCTATTCTATCCCCAAGGCAACAACAAATGCAGGAGAAGACGAACAGTGTAGCAGCAGCAGCGACAGGTCTCAACATACATAAAGGGGAACGCAACATCCTCATATGCAACACAACATGAAGCAACCAAATAACACTGGACGCAGAAGCTCTAGAAAATTTAGAAACTGTTAAGTCTGTGAGCAGCACCATTGATAATCATGCTGGATCTGATGCCGATATGAAGAAACGGATCATCAAAACAAGGGAAGCACTTCTAAAATTAAGGAACATCTGGAACTAAGATCAACTATCAACCAACACCAAAATCAGAAATTTCAGTACAAATGTCAAGACAGAACTACTGTATGGAGCGGAAACTTGGAAAACTACCAAAGCCATCATCCAGAAGATACAAGTATTTATGAACAGTTGTCTTCTCAAAATACTTCCGATTCGTTGGTCAGACACCATCAGCAACAATCTTCTGTCCGAAAGAACAAACTAGACTCCAGTGGAGGAAGAAATCAGGAAGAAGTTTTGAAGTGGATAAGACACACATTGTGGAAACAACAGAACTGCGCCACAAGAAAAAACCCTCAGTTGAAACTCTCAAAGACAAAGGAAAAGAGGAAGGCCAATGAACATTTTACACTGAGAAACGAAGACGGACACAGGAAGAATGAACAACAATTGGAAAGAACTTGAAAGGTAGGAAGGAAGTTGTATGAGACAAGACCGCTGCAACTACATTGTTTCATATCTGAAGTAAACTGTGAGATAGTCCTGTTCTCGCGACTCTTGAGGAGATTGCTTGTCTGAAAACGAGTTAGGAATAAAATTTATGGGTCTGTGGTCTGTCAATACAGTGAGTTCTCGGTGTTGGAAGTGTCGTTCAACCCAATACATTGCTAGCAGTTCATTCCCGAAAGTGCTTTACTTCGATTAAGTATCCCAGTGCAGTCTCCAGAAGAGTGTTCAGATGCTGCAGATGAGATTCGTTGCCCGGACTTGTGCTTTGACAGTCATCAACATAGGCTTTGAAATCATAGAAATTCAGTACTAAATATCTGATTATGGGAATTTTTGAGATATTATCTTCAGCCGTACGATTCCTTTGGTAATCTTTAACCAAGTTGATTTTCGTAAACACAAGTGAGCATTTCAAAGTAGCTGTTGAGTTGCGTATACGCGGAACGGATATTTATCGGTGGTGGTTTTTATGTTAGGCTACCGACTATCACCTTTTGGAAATGAATCACTAATATCCTTTTTAGGGGCTATATGCAAGGAAGATGCCCGTGAGTTCTTTGAAAATTCCAAAGTGTGTCCTATGATCGTATTCGTTTTGTTCAGCCCTAACCTTTTGCGACCCTATCATTGAGCTGTCGTGGGTAAATTTAGTTCTTAATGCGCATAATTTCATAATTTGTTGGATTTACTGTTGTCAGTGAGTTATCGACCACAACAAGATGGTGAAGATGTCATCGTTGGACAACACTTTTGCCCATAGAACCTTCTAGATCTAGTATACTCGAAGTCAAGTCAAACCAGAAGACAGAAATAGGGAGGGCCAAAGGAGTATTTGAATGCTTGATGGGATTTCAACGACAAAGTAGACTAATATTGCCCCCTGATGAGCGAAAAGGAGTTGCACCTTGAACACCACCGTGATCTGATGTGAATGCTTGATCGACCGTCTTCATTAGAGTGTATCTACAAAAACTAATAAGGTCAGCTGCAGTGTCAAAGACTTACAGAATCATTTACTTCCGGGGTTCACTTACTGCCTCAATATCATAACCTCTCAATAAATTCTGATGCGAATGTGTGATAAGAACTTTAGGACCAGTGAATGGAATGGCAGTAATGTACATATCTTTTAAACTGATCCCGACATTTCATCTAATGTCACGAATAGGCCGAAGAGAAGACAGAGATTTACAAACCATTGACATCTGGAACCCAGAAAACAGTTTTTGTTCCTCAAACCGACTGATTTATCTAAGTACTGAACCCTAATATTAACGGGTATTATGTATAAACCTGAACACTGTTGTTTAAAAGGACGTTAAATAGCGAAAGCACAAAATAACATGGACAATAAGACGCTAATTTTCTAACTGCACATAATCGAATCCAATATCCAAGCATGCTTTATCGGATTCTGATAAAGGTCAAGGTTATGTAGTAGTTTCCGAAGGGAGCGCTACCTCCAATATTCAATATCTTTCTCATTGCTCTCGCTTCTCGTTGTTTGGGTACGATTCCAGATATTTGGTTGGTTTGACAACTACTTGATAGACCTCTTCCACTTTCTAGGCGAGGTTTTTTCATGTTCTTTAAAATCCAAATGCTGTCGAGTTACCTTGAAACACTAGCTTCAGGTATATGACATTCCCCAGGGGTTATGAAAAACTGATGAGTTGTCATTTAGTCTGTAGTCATTTTAAATAAAAGTCCTTTTACGAAGAAACGAATCGTTTCCTGTTAGAAAACTTGGCTTCTTAAAGAGTACGTGAAGTCAACATTTATTGTCTCCTGCTATTTAGAGGGATTAGCATGAATATTAATCTCTGATAAATTCTCATCATACCAAAACAAATATATGGCCAAAGAATATTCTTCACAATAGACTTTTCGGACGGTACAGCTATGTATGACAAGGTTATAATACGGACCAACAAACTGGAGCCTTACATCCGGGAGAAATGCGTCCGACCAGTCATTTTACCTTGACCAACTAGTTCGATTAATCAGAATAATTGTGATGATAATCATCTGATTAATGTTCACGCGACCCCCCTCTATGCATCTACCTAGCTTAGACTTATTCACAAACCTTACCAATGATCACTATTATTATTGTTGTAATCATCATTGTTATAACCTTTGCAACTTTTTGGGAAGATTATTCAGCATCCTTTCTTGTCTACTAATTCGTACCTCACTTATATTACTCTACTTCATTTTTTTTGTAATCACATCTCGTGTTAACCATATTTATTCTGATTACTAATCTCAATCTCATTTCACGTTTAATTTTATTCAAGTGAATACTTCATATTAGCCATCCCATCATTAACGACTTATTCTGCAAGCAATCCTAAATTCCCACACCCTAAACATAGCCACTTTTCTGATTATTAACTTGGATATATAACTAAAACCTGAAGCGAATTTACTTAAAAGAATCTTCTTGGTTCATATATCTCTATTTTGACATAAACACTAAGTTTATCAAATGGTATAAGTCCTGGCAAATTTGTCCGTAGTATTTCAGTAGAGAACTAATTGCTACATAATGCTTACTTAAAAGGGTAGTTACCCACTGTATATTTGTATAATATATCTCCATTACAACCCACTCTCTTAAAGACTTATTGTCAAGGGCTTATTAGTACAAGTTCCTTCAAGAACTCCCACCTGTTGGTTTTCAAGGAAAAAGGGAAAAGCCTCAAGTCAAGTCTTCGGTTAATTTTCATCCTTCTTATTAACCTTAGCGATCCCCAGGTTTATGAGAACAGCAAAGCTAACACTAAACCAGTTATCGTTAGTATATATATCCCAAAACGTCCTTAATAGACAAAGTGAAGATATTCAATAGATGAGAATGTGACCACTCTACAAGTAAAAGACGAGCAGATCCAATTGCTTAGTATTTACTTTTGTGACCTTGTTGATGTCTAAACATAGATTAGTCGCCTTAATGTGATTACTTTAACGAATTTCCTCGAGAGTTTTGTATGATTATAAATATCCACATGGTTCTTAAGGGTTATGTTAAGTGATAACACATTCCAAGACTTTTAGTAATACTTCCAACACACTATGCTAGTGTTTTTATTTCATGAAGCTCCTTTTAAGTCTTTCTCAAAAACTTATGTGATATTCCACTACACTTTGGTAACTGATTACAGTCGCAGCTGAATTAAATCTCTTTTAATCTTAAGCTTTATGGTAACCTTTGTAGCCCTGATGAACTGATTGGTACTAAGAATTCGTAAAGAAATCAAGGTCCTTATATTCTCTTTGCATAAACATGGCTATATCTGGGCAATATTTTACCACCAAAGGTTAGATAAAGTTAGTAATACTTAATGGTTATGTATAAACTACTACTGTGGTAGATATCTGAGCTTAGTGGCAAATATTAATGTTAAACGTTATACTCTTTTCTTTATAAAGTGTTCATATTGTTATGGAGTCGGTAATCTGTTGTTACCGACCATTTACAAGGTACGCAAGTTTAGTTCGATGATTTTGAAAATTCGTATTTAATGAAACCGTCTCTGAAACTGACTTTTCAGTGTTCTATCAGCAAAAAAGTATGAAAAATGAACAGAACAGCGAGTAGGGATTGTATTGGCATAACATTATTCATCCTCTTCACTTCTCACTGACAAATAACATAGTGTAACATGTAGATCTCTATGATAAGTATTCCAAATACTTTAATGGTTTGCTCATGATTACCATATACTTTTCACCATAGTTCATACACCATGTCTGGTGATTGCTCCGTTTCAAACCAATGTGATGATTCTGTAATTGACCATCAAGCTGATGAGACTGATCTCAAGACGATGGAAACAGAAACAATAGTTGAAGAATTTGTTAGATTAAAATTGAGACAAAGTGCAGGTATTGTTCAACGCCGACGAACCTCAACTGATATGGAGTAAGACTAACAATAAACGTCATAAAATAAACTTTAGGACACAAGCTCTAATCGGTCGCCTTATAGAAATATCAAATGAGTTAGAGGCTCAATATGGTGAACGGTTAAATCAAGATGCGGAATTATGGATTAAGTCAGCTACCTATGAAAAGTTTATACAAATTGCAAAAGGGTAAATGTTTTACTTTTTGTCGTTTCCTGTTGTAAATATCGAATGAGTGTAATTAATCTTGTGGAAACAACTTAAGTAGGAGATACTTTGTGTTTTGAGTATCCTGTTTATGGATTGTTCCATGATTCCCCGCAATGTGAAGTGGGCATTACAAGTAAGAAGTCACAGAAATTCACTTGATTACTTTATTATCGGTTTCCGGTTACCAGCAAAAATTCAACTTTTTTTAAAAATATCTTTTAAAATGATTGGACATTGATATATTTATAGACCAAACAACTATAACACTGGGTTGAACATCGAGAAACAGTCCAACTGGCTATACATACATGCATCAGTTCTAGTTGCCATGGCTCGATTAGCAGGAAGGCATGAAATTGTGAAGGTATTAACAGTATTAGTACTAATAGAGAAGATTAGATTCAAGAAAATATAAATCAGTGGAAAAAAATACGATCGATTCAGAAAATTTGAATTTGTAGAACGACAAAGAATGAATGAATCTGGACCATTACAAATGCTTTTGAGCTATGTCATTCAAAGTCGCAGACTGGTGGTTACGATTATCACGTGGATTCCGACCGGGTAATTTGTTCCTACTAACATAGCTCAGTCCAGTTGTCAGTGACTTCATGGACTCGTACAATGTTTCGCTTTGGCCGTTCTTAGTTTTATCCCAACCTACTCTTACACCAGGCAATATTGCTCATCGTAGTAGGCGGTGGCTGAGCATACATAGCACCTATAATCGAATACAAGTAACTTACGAACACCTTTATACTTAGACGCTATGTTTCACACCCTTAAAGCAGGACGGAGCAAACTGTAGCTCAGTAAACTCGTCCTTTGGTCAGCAGGAAGATATCTCTTCCACGCCGTAAGTGACGCAAGTTGGCAAAAACCAATCGAACTTTCTGTATCCGTGTCGAGATTTCTTCGGACTCTAAGCCACCAGGACTGATGGGACTCCCAAGATGACTGAAGCGGTCAACGTGCTCAACTACTTCACTCCCTATAACTAGTTCAGGTGCCGATGCAAGCCAATCATGAAGCAAGATTTTGAATTTGAAGAGAAAAATCCACATCCGAAACATGGTCAGAAGACTGCGTTTTGCCAGTGCCTTCACCAAATAGAACTATGTCATCTGCATATTCTAAGTCAGCAGTTGAATTGGTAGGAGGTCAACTGCCGAAAAGTCAGGTGGCGAAAGTGTTAACTCTAAAAGTATATCGGTGCAAAAGTTAAGTAAGGATGGAGAAAGTGGAAAACCTTGACGAACACTACTTGAACTAATAAATTCCGTTGACAGTTCTCCATAGGCTATGACTCGACCAGTACTATTTGTGTAGAGAGCCTGTAAAGGGTTAATTTGCTTCTTTGGTACACCTTTTCATGACAGGCACTGCCACAGAACTTCATGATCAACTGAGTAAACTGCCACCTTAAGGTCGAGGAAAACAACAAATATCGGACTCCTAAATGTGTGTCTGTGTTCTAGGACCTGATGAAGTATGAATATTTGGTTTGTACATCCATGTGCAGGTCTGAAACCAAACTGGTTTTCTGGTTTATTTTCCACGAGCTTTAGTTAGACATCACAATAGGACTTTTGTCCTTTTTACGAACGAGGAAGATCAGTAGGATTACGTCCAGTTCCGATTTTCTAGCCAAAATCTCGGGTTAATCCATTAGGCCTTGCTACTCTCCCTTGCTTCAGATTGTCTATAGCTTTTTTAGCCTTACTGAGGGTTGGAAAATCGACATCAATTTACCATTCAGATTGCTGAAAAATGACAGGTAACTGAGATTTGTCTAAAAGACACTTGAACTGTCCCGTAAAATGTTCTACCCATCTGTCGGTCAGTTACAACATAGAACTTCTTACCTACGTACATAAGTTCATGTTGCCATGACACATCAGCACTACGACGCAATTTTCAGTTTAAATCCCATAGTGGTAGAATAGTAAAAGTATTAGCGGTAATGGAGAAGATTACGCTTCGAAAATATTGTTCAGAAAGTATAATTCAGTGAGATAACATTTTAGAAAGAGAATGATAGAGGTGATGATTTAAGAAAATTAGAATTTCATAGAACACAAAGAGTGGATGCACCTGTGCCATTCCAATCGATTTTGAGCCATGTCGATCAAGGTCTCTAACCACCGGTTACTATCGTCTTGCGGAAGCCAACCAGGTAGTCTACGTCTACCAACATGACTCAGTCCACTTGTCAGTGACTTCATGGATTTGTGCCATGTTTTGGTTTAGCGGTCCCTAGCTTCTTCCAGTCTACTCCTACACCACAAAACATCGCTCGTCCAGGCAGTCGGCGGTTTGGCATACGTAACATATGTCCCAACCACCTCAATTGATGAAGTTTCAATACTTTATCTACTGATTCGCCATCCTTACCTAGTACGCGTTTCCTAGCAACAGCATTGTGTACTTGGTTGTCCCAGGATACACGAGCAATGCTTCAAAGACATATGATCGAATACTAATAACGTACGAATATCTTCTACTCTTACCAGCCATGTTTCGCAACCACATAGTAGGACAAAGCGAACTGATGCTCAGTACACATTCTCTAGTTAGTAGACGGATATCCCGCCTATTCCATAAGTGACGCAAGTTAGAAAGAGTCAATCGAGCCTTCTGTATCTGTGCTGAGATTTCGTCAGTTACCAGGCAATCAGCACTGATGAGACTCACGAGGTAAGTGAGACGGTCAACACGCTCAACTGCTTCACTCCGTATCATTAGTTACGGTGCCAATGCAAGCCAATCTTGGAGCAACATTTTACATTTCAAGGGAGGAAACCGCATCGCAAACATGCATTGTTTCTCAGGGTAATCAGGAGACACTGTATTTTGTCAGCGTCTTCACCAAGTAGAAGGCCCGCCCCTGCAAAGTCAGACGAAGATAATGTTAACTCTAAAAGCATGTCTATGACAATGTTAAACAAGAATAGGCAGCCCTGACGGACACCACTTAAAGTAATGTAATCGGATGATAGTTCGCCCTAAGCCTTTACTCGGCCAATAGTGTTCGAGTAGAGAGCTTGTATAAGGTAAATGTACTTCTCTGGTACACCTTTTAATGACAGACACTGCCATATAACTTCACGATCAACAAAGTCAGTGCCGCTTTAAGGTCCAGGACGACAAATATTGTCGGACGCTTAAATGTGTCTATGTTCCAGGACTTGCCGTAGTGTGAAAATGTGGTCTATAAAGCCACGTTCAGGTCTGAAACCATCCTGGTTTTTTCGAATCTGCCCTTGACGAGCTCTAGTTAGGCGTCGGATTATTATTAACGGCAATATTTTAGATACTATATTAGTTAGACTAATTCTTCTGTGATTGTCACAGTAGGACTCTTGTCTATTTTGCATTTTGTTTTTATTTCCTCTCTTGTCCCCAACTCAAAATTTTTGCATTTGTAATATAGATAAATATTTTTAAGCTTAACAACTCAGTCTTTACGATCTTCCACTCTATATGTTTCTAAAATACCGATTATTATGTGCTCGACTTTCACTGTAGTTTTTTAGTTAAATCATGGGGTCATACCATTCATTTACTTGGACTTAATTTATTTTCAAAAAGCTTTTTACTACATAGTTAAGCTAAATGATTTATAATCGATTATTATTCAGTTATCAATGTCGCGTTATGTACTGGTGATACGGTCCGTCCATGAGCTAACTCCTACTTCCGATTTCTGATATGGTAGTTACTCCAACGCTTATCCTCTTCCTAGCCTATGTCAGATCACAAAACGTGTATCCAAAGATTGCTTGAAACATTGAAAATGACCAGCAGTAATTGCATATTAATCCACTTACAAAGTCCTAGGAAGTCTAAAAAACTCAACTTATTAAAAATCAATGAATTGGACGAAAAAAGCCTTCAAAGTTAAGCACTTCTTGCTTAGAGTTTCGTTGCGTGAAAACAGAAGTTTGGCAGACTACTTCGAAATATGCCAAGGAGCCTACTGCTAGATTACCTTATATTTATATATTTTCTGATGGATGTGCAGTAAAATTAACTATTGTCATTGAACTAGTTGATAGATTAAACTTTATTGGAAGATATATTTTACATGGTATCATTCGTCATCCTGTCATTTGCATTTAACTATCGTCAAGCTGAATGAGGTCATCAGTGATTTCTGTTTCCATCGAATAATTTTGTTTAGAATCGATTCCAAAAAGAAGAGATTTATTTGATTGAAATCACCAATTGATCAAAGTTGAACAACTGTTGAAAACTTGGAGTTAGTGGACGATCATTTCATTCTAGTATCTGTTGGGGAGCCCCTGAATATCCGTCAGAAGAGTCTATAGAGACCCAGAAATGCCGGAAAACGTTTTATCTAATCTGTCAAATGCAGAACCAGGTGTCACGATTCTGATTGGCTATTCAGCCAAACCGCCACTATATCTAGAATGGTTCTCGAACCTTTCAGAAACCCAAGGTTACGAGTAACTCTATAAATAGCCTCATTTTTCTGTACATAAACTAACCTAACAGTAAAGCGTTCTTGTGCTTCACACATTTACTCTTTTACTCAAGATGCGGTTTAGATTTAGTTTGAGGTTATTAGATGCGGATAGGAATTCAGATCTTGCGTTTGTTTAGCAGATTTATCAGTATCGGACTCAGCAGTACACACTAGCAAGCTGGATTCAAACTCTGTACTTTCAATCTCGCAAACGAACGCTTAACGTGTATATCATTACATCCCAGCTCAGTGGTCTAGAATTTGTGATCCTTGATCGGTTTGTGGTTTCACTGAAACCCAACAATCTTCGCAACCCTATATTCCGAAGAGATATAATTAGAAAATCCTGTTAATAATTTATTTTAGAGTTTTCTCAGATGGAATTATTAACTGGTCACGAATCGTAGTATTGTTTATGTTTGCTGTCAAAGTGGTAATCAATGCAATTTCCAAAGGATTTAGTGGTCTCGCTGGTGATGTCGTAAGATTCGTTGTCAAATTTATTTTTATCCATGGTATATACAAATGGGTTGAAAGTCATGGTGGTTGGGTAAGTTACTGGTGTTCTCATTAGCTGGAATATTTGTATTAATCACTAATCGAACCTAAAATAATATTTGTCCTTTTTCATTGCTAATCATATCCAATTTTTCATAGTGATCAGGCACAAATATCTTTTGGAGATCAATGTAGATAACTTGTACTAAATTTGTGCATGCGACTTATCCAGTGTATATTGTTAGAGTTGTTCGTTGACAGTTGAATATAAAGTATTCTAAAGTTCAAATTAGTTCAAACAAAAACTCAACCTTGAGAGTTATCTGTGAGAAAACTGACGCAAATAACTTTAAAACGATGAATTTTAGCCTCATGAAAAATTGTTAGTACTTTTCCTGACAACACTGTAGCTGGTAAAGTCATGTAAATAAAAACTTGCATATATTTAAGATTCCCGCCATACTGTTGCTTGTTCTGTGCTTAAGTTCCAACTGCCGATCGTAGTTCATCAATTCAGGAGTACAAAATTGTTTTGGCGCTCTGTCATATTTTCTCGATACACTGTGTTTAGTGTGAATTACTGAATGTAAATTTCATACTGATTGACTGATCATAAATAAAATCAAACAGCTTATTAGAATCCTATTTACCTATCCCAACTATAATATGGTTACATTTTATTTGATATCAAACTTCAAGTTGATCCAATAAAGGTCTAAGAATCCATTCCTGAGTTTTAAAAATAATCTTCCTCAATTATTTAAACATGTCTTCTAATAAATGATGTTCAATTATTGTACTGAGTGCCATTTATTATTACTAGGAGTTCTTCAATGAGTAGGATTATTCACAAAAGATTATAGTCTACTTTCTGTAAAAGTTTAACTTAGCATTGCGAGATTTCCCCTAGTTCAGTGAAACAGAGCAATAATTTCAATGCATTCATTCAATCAATCAATCAACCAAGACGTAGAACTTCGTACGTACGTACCTCAGTTCAAGTTGCCATACCACACTAGCACAGAGATGAAATTGTCAATTAAAATCCCATAGTAGTAGAGGTAGTAAAAGTATTAGCAGTAATCGGAGAAATTAGAGTTCGACGATATTACTCAAGAAGTAGAACCTAGTGAAAGAAACTTAAAAAGATAAAGGTGATGAGAAACTCTGAAGTTTAGGATTTGAGGGAACACAAAGAGTGGATGCACTTGCGCCATTGCAAACGATTTTGAGCCATGTCATTCAGGGTCTCTAACCATCGATCACTACCACCTCGTGGGCCCCAAACAGGTAGTCGACACCAATCCAGTTGTCAGTGACTTCATGGATTTCTGCCATGCTTTGGTCTGGCCGCCCCTAGCTTTCTTCCAACTTATTCCTACATCGCAAAACGTAGCTCGTCGAGGAAGTCGGTGGTTAGGCATTCATAACACATGTCCCAATCATCTCAACTGATGAAGTTTCAATATTTCATCTACTGATCCACCATCCTTATCTAGTGCCCATTTCCTAACAGCAGCATTGCTTACCCGTATGTCTCAGGATACACGAGCAATGCTTCGAAGACACCTATGATCGAAGACAAGCAACCTACGAATATCTTCTAATCTGACTGGACATGTTTCACGGCCTTAAAGTTGAACGGAGCGAACTACTGCGCAGTACACGTGACCGTTGGTTAGCAAAGGGATATCTCGCCTACACCATAAGTAATGCAAGTTAGAAAAAGCCAATCAAGCCTTCTGTATCCGTGCTAAGATTTCGTCAGTCACCAGGCAATCAAGATAAGTGAAGCGGTCGACACGCTCAACTACTTCACTCCCTATCACTAGTTCAGGTGACAGTGTTACCCAATCCTGAAGTAAAGTTTTACATTTCGAGGAGGAGATTCACATCCGGAACTTTCTTGTGTTGTTGCTTAGGTTATTCAGAAGACTGCATTTTGTCAGCGTCTTCACCAAGTAGCACTACGTCATCGGCATATTCTAAGTCAGCAAGCGTGTCTCCCGGAAGAATGTTCACTCCTGAACATTCCGACAAATATAATGTTATATGTAAAAGCATGTCAATAACAAAATTAAATAAGATTGGAGAAAGTGGGCAGCCCTGATGGACATCATTTGGAGCAATGAATTCCTCTGACAGTTCGCTATAGGCTCCCACTAGACCAGAAGTGCTCGAGTAGAGAGCAAATATTCATTGATTTGTAATCGCTGTTTGCTCAAGACAAGATAGTGGCCATTAGAATTTTAGTCTCTTTAGCCTATACCCTTGTGTAAGGTTAGTGTATCACTTTTATGAGCTTGGTGAAACTAAACCGTTGTCCAAGTCACCTGAGAACTAGTCTCTCATGATTTCTTTCAAACTAGTCAGCTTACTATTATTTTACTAGTAGTATAAAAATTTAAAACAACTGGGCTGAATGGTTTGGGAATGAAACTATTCTATCCTTATCTTCCCTGCCAGTTAACTAGAGTGGGTGATATAAGTTCGTTTTCTTGTTAGATATCCCAAAAGAATTGTTTATGAAGTAACATGGAATGGCCATATAAAAAATTGTTGGGGATGCTAGATCCTCATCAATCGTTTGATAACCCCCTTAATTTTGTAATTTATTTTTGGAAATTTGAATTTCTTATTTTCGCGCCAAAGTGCCTTTTTTTATCGTCAGTTTGTTTTTCCAACTTGGAAGGACCTTATACCTCATAGGTTAGTTTTCCGTTTTAGTGCGCTTTATAACTCTATCGAGGATGCTTTTTTACTCTATAGTACGCTTGACTGAATGCTTATTATTCGTTCGCTCGGGGCTGTACACATTTTTCCTGCTGACTTTGGACTTCTTGCTGTAGTTAACTGGCCTGGGCCGCAGAGAGTATCTTAGCTGTTCTCTTATTGTGTCATAGGTTATCGTTTCATTTGTTAATGCCAAGATGTATTAAATTATCGCAAGCATAAAATAATCAACATAATAAAATGCCATGAACGACTGGAGGAAGTCAGTCCATATGTTACTCACTCTTCAATAAATTAGGGCCTCAATATTGGGCATCGTGTAGTAACAATAGATGAAACAATCAATTATCAATAACAGATCTACTTTGCTGATTACCACTCTAATTTCGCTGACTAAGAGATCAAAAATACAGTTGTAAGATTGTTAATTATTGTTTAGTGACTTAATTATTGTCAGTCTTCTTACAACCTTGCAAATATTTACATAAAATTAAGAAGGTTATTTCACCAAAAATCTCATGTACAGAACAATTGGAGAAAAGCAATTTTTCATCATTCGTCAATCCAATAATTCCTATGTATTAGTGTTTGATATTTCACGCTCAACTTTTTTAACCTCAAAGATATCAGACATTGCGATTGCCAAAGAAATTTGCCTGTCACGTTATTTCTTAGACAAATATTTTGATAGTTGAGCAGACAGAAATAAACATGGGCACCATTTTTGTTCGTAAAAAGTATGTTAGCATTCAAAGTCGAAACCGAATTTATTCTCATCTGGAAAATGTTTTGCCCAGCTTTAACCTTTTTTGGTGCTTTTGTCACGCATTATATGAGCTTGATAGTGTATTGTAGAGATATGTTTTGCCTTAAACGAAAAATGTACAAAAATAAAATCATAAATAAATCTGATAGTTTGTACTGAATAAAATATCACCGGTCAGTGGCTTGCAGGATCTTTAATGTCATTTCGTAACTATTTTCATGTGGAACTCACACGGCTAACCAATAGGCCCTTCCGATAGCATTCAAGATCCCACTTAAAACACCACAATCTTTCTCCAATAGTCGAAGAACTGAACTAAGAAGAAACATCAATAATGTTATCAGTAAAGAAATAAGTTTACCCTGCTGTTCAGATTAATTTTCTCTCGCTTGCTCCATTATCTATACACATTTACCGTTGAATTATTGTTCAGAAAATTCCGAAAACTATATAACCATTTCGTAAGTTTTGCATGTTTTTTGCTGTTTCTACTATCAGTCGTCAGTGAGAGTTCGATTGGATTGTTCACTTGTCTCAATCATATAAAATATCATCAAAAGCTTATCCTACCAAGGTTAATAAAGCACTGATCAAATATTTATTATGTTGTTTGCCATACTACAAGCTACATTGATTGTTTGAGAACAATGTCTCAAACTAGTGTGACGGTGTCCAAAACTCAAGCACCTCAAACCACATAGTTGTAGACTTACTGAAAGATGAATTAACTAAGGACTGTATGTTTTCTGTAGTTTTTATCTATCGATAACTGGTGATTATATTTTGTTTTTATTCATTCACATTTATAACAGTCTCGTACTTTGTTTATCAAAACAAGAATACCTGAAACAAGTTATATGGTAGAACAAAGCAATCATTTTTTCTTTCATCATTTTTTGAATTAAAAGTTATTTCATCTGATGTTTTTATTACTATATATATTTTAGGTGGCTGTCTTACGCGAGTATACTCCACATTCTAATTCAAGTGGTCTATTTGTATTCGGCCTCACTCTGTTGATTGTTTGCTTACTGTTAACAAGAAAGATTTAATTAATTGTTTGTCATTATTATTACTGTTGTTATTGTTATTATTATGATTATTACTATTGGGCTTATCTTTAATCATGGATCGTTTGTTAAAATTCCACATGAACAAGAAACCACACACATATAAGCATGAAGTTCACTTAGCACACATTAAGGATCAATGCTGTTTTATGTCGATACATTGACTGTGAAGTTTCGTATGATCAATTACAGCCTTTTTAAAGCACGGCATAAGAATGTCTACAAAGTACTACATACTTGTCTATTCTTGTTACATTTTTTTATTTGAGCAAATTCTGAGAATTAGAGACAATTCTCGATTAGAGACAAAAGTATTCTCGCCACTAAATGCCGTGTGACCAGTGTTGGTACTTGTAGGTGAACATAATTCTACCACATATCTTTTTTTGCTGTACAGTAACGTATTAGATTTGCATTTGATAATTAAATCAGTGGGTATTTAGATTTCTAACTGTGCATTTTTAATCATCTAGTTACTTTCTTAATATTTTGTTCAGAAAGGACACTGGTAAAGTGTAATGAATCTTGTCTACGTCGGTTTTTGTCTACTGCATAATTTGTTGATTCCTTATGTTACCTCTTGAGTATGTGTACATGGCTCATATATATATATATACCTGTAGAAGAGTAAATAAGTAATATTCACAAACAGAAATCTCCAACTTCAAGTGCCTTGTTTACATACTGTTAGTAGTCAGGTATTTTGCTTACTGTTACATTATAATTTTATACGGTGTATTTGATCTTTATTACACCTTAATGTTTTATTGTCTGTACGTGTTTCTGTGTGTCCGTTTTTCATTATTTGATCCTTTTAAATCAGGTCATCAGTGCTCTGTATCGCCTGTGCATAACAATGCTACTTCGTTCTCTTTCAAAGTTAAGTATTCAACGTCCAACCGATTTCGTTCTGACTGACGATTTCTCACTTTATTATCTTAATCAATAAAAAACTTATGTTTGTTTTGCTTACTTTTATTATTTGTTAAAGTTTGAATCATTTATGTAGCATTTTGCCCTTTTTTGTATCATGTGTAAATTTTAATTCTGTTTTGTTATTCATAAATTTCTAAATAGAGGTACTTATTACTTTTTAATCTTAACATCTCCATGGCAAATATAAGCAATCGTGCCTAGTCGATTCCCACATAAAAGCTAATCTTTGTTAAAATTAGACTATTGGTTTTTTTTTCGTGTTTTATACCTGAGGCATTCATATTTATAATTCCAGTGAAGCACAGTAAATTTGTTCTCTATGTTTTGATTCAAATAGTTTGTTGTGTTTATGTTCAAGACTTACTCCTTCTTACATTACTACCTTCATGGCTGTGTCAATTCATCAGAGAGTGCGAATATCGATTCCTTGCACTTAGAGGCTCTTCTAACAATGACAAGTGCGTCCAATCCCTCATGAGTTCATTATAAATTATTGACTACTATCGGTTAATTTTGGAGGACAGCAATTATAATTGTCAAATCCTTTACTAGTAAACATTCAGACGTCATATAAAGACCACGCTACAGTAGTCAGAACGCATTACATATAAGAAAACGCTTACTATAACTAACAATTACCGCAAGTCGTTATAATTCATTCAAGTTTTGAGTTAAAAGTTACCTGCTTTAAGTTATTAGCATACAAATAGACTGTTTTCAAGTGTTACATAAATCCAAACTTTATTCTAACTGTATTAAATTAAGGTTTACTTGATATTTTCAAAATCATTTAACGTCAGATGAGTCGATAAACGTGGGAAATAGAAAACCATGTTCATCGATCACAAAACACATAATTAAGACAGGGAATAAGATTGACAGCCTTCAAAACACTATAGAAATGTTGAAGGACGGATTTTGAGGTTTATAGAGGCCTTGGCTAATCGAAAATTAGAGTGTTTAAATTTATAGGCTCTCTCAAAAGGTAAGAATTTTACGTAATAATTAATCAAAAAACTGAGCGTTTAGAAATATAGTTCAACACTATCATGCGCAATATTCTAGTCTGCTAAATATTGAATCATAAGTGTAGACGTATATATTTATTTGCTGTAGAGCATGATGTTTCATTAAGTTGATGTAAATAGCAGGTTCTTTTAAGAGTATTTCATCACTAATTCGGTTGCAGCCATATAAGACTAGAAAGTTTTTTCGATTAGAAAATTCATCAGGAAACATTAGTAAAATTTATTGTAAACAAATTAACTTTTGTATTTCCTGTATAGTGGATTCTCTCCCATCACTGAATTTGTAAATCACCATCACTTATATTGTGCCTGTAACTCGGTTAATTTTCTAAACAAAAATGAATAATGACTAATTAGTGTAGTAATGATGTTTGTTTGGTTGTTTTTTCTGCATTTCCTGTTAAACACTCATTTGGAAAATATAGACAAACCGATTTCTGTATCAACACAATCTAACTAGTAGTGGACGTTGATTGATTTATTTATTTCCTCAAATTTACAGGACCATTCGTGTGTAACTACAGTCAATCATAAAATTATATACAATAAAATTGACTGAGCGAGAGAAATACTTGTCCTTCGAAAATGTGTTTTTTTTCATGATACCAAGTGTTTTGTTCACTCTTTTTCTCTGGAAATATGAAGTATTCCCTTATAGTCAGTCATATTATTAACACCTCCAGACTATTGTCAGTATAAAAATAGTGTGGTACTGCTAATTGCAAAAGCACGAATGAAAATGCTAAACAACAGTAGTAAACGGATATAATAAATATCTTGTTAAATTAGCGTACAAAATTTCATGAGAGAGCTAGCTTGTTCTAATATTTTCCAGTTTACACTTCATTTAGTTATTTTCTAATATTGGCATGTTATTTTGAAGTCAAATTACTAATATACTGTGCGCATTGAATATTTTCCATATTGAACTTGTAAACGATTTAGTTAATCTAGTTTTTATAAGAACAGGGAGAAGAATATGTATGTATCGTAGATAGTAATATATAATGACAGACGATTTATGATGCTTAGAGCAAAAAGTCCTAACCTGTAAATTTGAGCTTTATCGTAAATGATGCAACGCAGAATATTCGGTAATATGTAGTGTAAATTCCTATTTGCTACTTAACACGCTGTATCGAATTCATTCGAGAGATTTTCGGACAAACTAATCAAGAATTCACTGGTAGTAGTCAAGGTCAGGATACTTATGTTACAATACAATCTACTTGCGTCCTATGTGAATGAGTAGACTTACCATTAATAAAAACTATCAAATTGGGGAAACCCACTGTTAGGTCATTGGTTTCCGTCTTATAATTACGAAATATAATGCAACGTGAAACCATACTTGTAACTCCGCCTGGTGCCCCTCTAGGGCTACTGCCGTCCCGAGCCCTGATAAAGGAAGAGGTTTGGCTAAAAAACGCTAACCAGAAATCATAACTCGAACCAATTTAACGCTGCCCTGAGAGTTAAGTCTTCTTTCAGAAGAGTTATGACGTCTCATAATGAAAGCCGAGTTCTTTCGGAAGTCACGAAAGCGGATCCCTCTTCTGACAACCAGAGCAACCATTCTTTTAGGTACGTGGAATATTCAAACATTGTAGGAGACCGGAAGACTATTCCTAGTCGCTGCACAGATTAAAAGGTACAACTAAGAGGTGCTTGGAATCAGTGGAACGCATTGGACACAGGCAGGATAACTGACACTAGCTTCAAGAGAGCTGTTGTTACACTCCGATCATGAAGAAGAAAATGCGTCACACAAGGAGTTGCACTGATGCTGTCCAAACAAGCACAAAAGGCACTGATAGGATGGGAATCTCATGGACCGAGGATCATTAAAGCATCCTTCAAAAATGGCATTACAATGAACGTCATTCAATGCTATGCACCTACCAATGACTACAATGTCGACGTTAAAGATCAATTCTATGAAAGGCAGATGCTCACAGAAGGATTTGACGATTCTGATGGGAGGTCTAAATGCCAAGGTTGACATGGACAACACTGGATATGAAGACATCATGGGACGAAATAGACTGGGAGTAAGGAACGAAAATGATGAGAGATTTGCAAACCTATGTGCTTTCAACAAAATGATAATCGTCGACAAAATATTCCGACACAAACGCATACACAAATCCATATGAATTTCACCGGATCACACTATTCAGAACCAGATCGACCACATATGCATCAATAAAAAATTCCGAAGGACCATAGAGAACGTGAGAACCAAGAGCTAATATAGCATCAGATCACCACTTGCTGATCGCCAAAATGAAACTGAAACTCAGGAGGCACTGGACAACCGGGTGGGCAACATCACAAAAGTTTAATACGGCCTTTCTTCGGGATACCGTAAAGCTCGACGGATTCAAGATAGTCCTCAACAATAGATTCCAGGCCTTGCACAATCTACTCGATGGCGATGAAACAACCACGGAGAATAGTTGGAAAGGGATCAAGGAAGCAATCACTTCAACATCTCACGAGGTTCTGGGTCACAGGAAGTAAACGTGAACCTACCAATCGATGTTGACCCGTCAACAATTGAAGAGATTCGCATGATCATCAGACAAAACAAGAGCGACAAAGCAGCGGGACCAGACCACATTCTAGCAGAAGCAATGAAAGCAGACGTAGCCGCAACTGCAAAAATAGTCTACATTCTTTCCAACACGGTTTCAGATGAAGAACAAGTACCAACAGACTGGAAATATATATACCAAAGAAAAGTAATCTCAGCAAGTGTGAGAACTACATAGGCATCACTCTTCTCTCAATACCAATCACTCTTCAACAGGGTATTGTTAAACAGAATGAAGGACTTCATGGATGCCTAACTTCGAAGTTAGCAAGCTGGATTCCGTAACAACTGATTGTGTACCGAACAATTAGCACCTACTCTGTGGATCATTGTGGAACAATCAGTTGGATGGAACTCACCACTCTACATCAACTTCACTGACTATAAGAAAGCATTTGATAGCGTGGTCAGGATGGTATCATAGAGATTTCTTCGACACCATGACGTACCTGAGAAGGTACTCAACATCATACGGAATTCTGATGACAGATTAAACTGCAAAATCGTGCACGGATGACAACTGAGACTCGTTCGAACTGAAGTCAGTTGTCAGGCAAGGTTGATCACTTTCTCCTGATGATCGATTGGATCATGAAGAAGTCAACATCTGGAGGGAAGCCCTGTATACGTTGGACAGCTAGGACGCAGCTGGACCACCTACACTTCTCAGATTTGTCTCTTCTATCCCCCACGCAACAACAAACTCAAGCGAAGACGAACAGTGTAGCAGCAGCAGCGACAGGTCTCAACATACATAAAGGGCAACGCAAGATCCTCAGATGCAACACAATATGAAGCAACCAAATAACACTGGACGCAGAAGCTCTAGAAAATTTAGAAACCATTCAGTCTGTGAGCATCACCATTGATAAACATTCTGGATCTGATGTCGAAATAAGGAAACGGGAAGCATTTCTAAAATTAAGGAACATCTGGAACTAAGATCAACTATTAACCAGCACCAAAATCAGTATTTTCAATACAAATGTCAAGACAGATCTACTGTATGGAGCGGAAACTTGAAAAACTACCAAAGCCATCATCCAGAAGATACAAGTATTTATGAACAGTTGTCTTCGGAAAATACTTCGGATTCGTTGGTCAGACACCATCAGCAACAATCTACTGTGTGAAAGAACAAACTAGACACCAGTGGAGGAAGAAATCAAGAAGAAGCTTTTGAAGTGGATAGGACACCCATTGTGGGAGGCACAGAACTGCGCCACAAGACAAACCCTCACTTGGAACCTTCAAGGACAAAGGAAAAGAGGAAGGCCAATGAACACATTACGTTGAGAAACGGAAACAGACATGTGAAGAATGAGAAAAAATTGAACAGAACTAGAAAGGTAGGTCCATAACAGAGTAGGTTGGAGAATGCTAGTCGGTTGCCTGCTCTCCACTGGGGGTAACAGGCCTACGTCAGTAAGAAATTGCGTGAAAGAATTGCTTGTAAGAAAATACTTGTAGCTCATGACACAAATACCTGAGATGCGCTACTTTATTATATGGTACTGAGAGGTCTAATTAAGGACAATGTCCATTTTGTGACAGTAAATCTAATAAAAAAATTCCTTGTCGATGAGACGATTTATGAGGTACCAAGACAAAGCTAAAAAGCCAAATATTTCCCTCTTTATTTTCAACTTTTACTGATGACTAAAACTTCATTACCTACTTCTAAATGTAATATTTTACATTGGACAATTTAATCTTGAAATAAACAAAACTAATGTGTTCCCGTGAATCCAATGTGATTTAATTTCATATCATTTTACCATGTAACGAATGTCTTTCAATATTATAAACAACTATGCTCAAGCTATCTATTTCATGACAGGGGAATTCTTCTACATTTGTTTTATTAAACTTCAAATCTGTCTTATCCTCAACAGAAATCCACACAAAACATTAAAATGAAGTGAATTATTTATGCAAGCTACCGAACATGAGAAGACAGCATTGCCGCTACCACTTATTCACAAATTTCGATATAGTTTGCCTGAACACCTTAAAAAATTAATGTAGTTCTAGGGATCTAGGATTTCGTTACTTGGTTTTCCAGTTAGTAGTGTTTATTTGGGTCCTAGAAAAACATGGGTGTTTACAAATATTTATTTACAACTGTAGCATTCAGCACTCGGATGTTTGGAAATAACTATCCTTAATATTAGGCAACCCATTCTTTTCAACATCCCTTAAGTTATCTCTTGGAATTTCACCTGAACCATACTAAGGCCTGTTGCATAGCCATATGCATCGTATTAAATTCTACATATTTTTCATAGAGAAAAGAATAAATCTTTATTTTATTGTATTATAGCCTGTCCCGTATGTCTTTGCAAATTGTTTACCAGTTTATTTATAATACTGTCAGGGAGTGAGTGATTAATAGATAAACTGTTTACAAATTTATGACAGTTTAAAATACTTATGGTGTATAACGCCATTACTCAAACCAGTGATAAATTAATGATACTCTAAGTGATTATCCTGAATATATGGTGGTGATTCAATCGATAGTCCTCATTTCAAGAGTTTTATAGTTATATTCATTAGGGTTTGTATTATCTGATTGTTAATATTCAGAACTAAATTTCGATCAATTTTTGTTAGTACAACTTAGTAGATAATGCTATGATATATAAAACAGTACGCACTGTACTCAAGTCATTGTGTAAACCAGAAAATAGATTCTAATTTATTCAGCTGACAAGCAAGCACCAAACAGAATAGAATGCTTGTCTTATATTCCACTGTTAGCCATCATCCAAATTTACTTGAACGTAGTGGTCATAGTTACTATCATTTATTAAGAATGGTTTTAAACTGGACTTCATTTAATGATCAGTTCTTAGAGTATTTTATTAAGAGTTTGTGAAATAAACTACGTAAGTGAGACTTAATTTCTCGCTGAACAATCCTTGCTTTAAATAGAATTCTGTATTCGCGTTAATATTTCAATTGCACGTTTATCTTCATTCATGATTGTTCAATTCTCACCATTTTTAATTATAGCGTCCTTATAAACCCTTAGTATACACATTTACGACACGGGAACAAATCTTGGATACCCTTTTTACTTATTAATTTATAAACCTCTGAAATTTATAGTATCCAAAGGAGGAAGATTGTTAATTCATGTGATTTACAAAATAAGACTGGCACAGAATGAATTTGAGTCGTTATGATTTGTTGGTAAATTGTATGAAATTAATCATAAATTCTATATAAACTGCATGTAGTCATCGAATTATTGAACAAGATATATATATATATATATATATATATATATATATATATATACAGGCCAAATATTGGGTAACTAACAGTTTAGTACACGTCTTGCCAATAATAATCTTTGCTTAACACCGGTTCCCAAAAAATAAATGAAACACATCTAAAGGAGGTAACAAATCACTTTATTGCTTTGCATGTGAGTTTAAAGGGTACAATAAATCTCCATTTATATAATTATATATATGAGGTAAAATGTTGACGTAATACAATTTCGTTAAAAGTTTGAAAATACGCTTGCGTATGTTTACATTGTCTCCTTTATATGCCATAATTATTTATGACGAAAACAAATGAAGATCACGTGTGCTGCCTCCTAAATTCGCGATATTTTAGCCGTCTTCAAACGTAATGAATTCATTTCAAACTCGAAACGACTTATTTTCAATTAAATGACGAGCCAAAATTGATTTAATCAACAATGGATCTGGTATAGTTTGTGGTAAATAACTTACATAATTATACTTATTATTCGGAGTACTCATTAAATTTGAATAATCAGGAGTGCATTCATCCACTGACATATGTTTATTGTCATGTTTACTATGATTTGTATTATTGTTTGCAGTACTGTGTGTATTTAAATCTAACAAGTGTTCTATACTAAGCACATGATTTGACGATTCATTCTTATCAGATGTTTGATTATATGTTGTGTTCAAATCTGCAGATTCATTGTTTAAACATGGCGTGTTGTTATTTTTATCATTATGAACATGTTGATTCCATTTCATATTGTTGAAACTAGGATGTATATTTCGAAAATTATCACTGTTACAAGTGGTTCCATTCATCTTTTTAGTCCCTGAGCAATAAGCATTTATACCTGACATATTTAACATTCCAGACAGGAATGTTGTAAATGTATTATAATAATGACGATAGTCAAACTCTTCCCACTTTGAATAACCTGGTAGTACTTTCGTTTTACCTTCATTTATACTAAATTTTGTTGGATTTAACACAGAAGTCGTATTCGAATATAAAAATGATGATAATAATGAGCAGGATGAATTATCTGACTGATAAGATCTATTACATGTTGCACTGTTTTGTGGTACGCTCCGAAGACAGTCTAAATTATTTTGTACATTACTTGTTTGAAGGTTATTACTAAAATTACTACTTGTGGATGTATCTAAGTGATTGAGTCGAACAGGAATAACAGTATCATGCATATCCTTTAGTTGGCAAGGATTTTTCATCAAATTTATATTAGGTCCGATCTCTTTTAAGTTCAACATAGACGGATATGCGATAGTGTAATTGATATCTTGTTGATGTTTAGTGGGAATATGATTTGAACTAATTCGACTGTTAGTATTATTATTGTGTAGTAGTGTTGAAAAGAAGGAAACAGGTGAAAATGTCTCCAACGAGTGTGGAATGTGGCTGTCCTTCGTTTGTATATTAATATTTACTGAATTCGTAACTTTACTCTTTTCTGCACTACTGATATCTTGGTGAATAGTTGTTGCGAAACTCGGTGCATTATTTGAAGTAGTCGTTGTGTTAAATGTCATTTTATCCAAACTTGTTTGCCTGGCTAATAATTTGGCATATGCTTCATTGATAGAAGACAGCAAATAAGTTGATTCATATGGTGAAAATCCTATCCCACTTGTATCACTAATGGAACCGAAAGATTTTATTGAACTTTCGCTTGGAGAAGATGACTTGTCATTTGTTTTTTGTATCAATCGTGGAAGTTTCAATGGTTTTGTAGCATTATTTGTAATATTTGTTGTTTCTGATGCAACAGAAGCTAATTCTTCTTGAATCAACATTGGTGGAGAAAATCGTGTTGGCAGTGCGTTATGTTCTAAAAAAAATAAAATAGAAGTCACTTGTACTTCATATAAAAATATCAAAACTACTTTAGCTACTTACAAGTAGTTTAAACCATTTACGCAAATTGTAGCTATCTCAAAAAAGATTAATCAAAAAGGGACAAATTACTGATAGTAATTTTTTCTAACATCAGAGAAAACAGTTTGAAATACCAACAAGAACAAGTTGGATGCTGAAAATATGGTTAGGTAATTGTAAGCTGTCAGATGTCAGAAACTTTATCAGCGTATTCAAAAGGAAACATTTGTCAATTTTTCTTTGCCTAAGTTACATAAATATTTGTTTGTCACAACAAAAATCCTGTTCAATTTTTACTGTTAACAAATCACATCAGCATGCCTTTCCTAGACTCTTTTTCGATTTAATAGTTTTGTCTTATTAGTATGGGTGGTTTGGAGAGAATGTCAAATTCAAGCTAAGTCAATTAAAAGCCATGTACCACCAGTTAGTTGTTTCGACCTAGTGTGGTACTCTTCAGCATTGTACATCTACGATCCTACCGGAGATTGGGCATAAAATCTTACGTTCTACAATGAAATATTAAGCTTTAAACAAATAGGTTCGCATCCAGTGGTATACATGATCAATCATGCAATTCGAAATATTATGAAGCTATCTCATATTGTTTGCGGTTAATAACTGTCTCACAGACAAAGTGGTTGAACTCCATTAGTTATGCTTCCCCATAAGAACTCCTGAACCTGAATTATGAAGTGGGTTACAAGTGAATAAATGTTAATTATCAGTATAGGAGGTGTAAGGAGACTGTTGCGTGCCCACTCAATGATCTGCGAGTTAAGACCTCGCCAATGCCATGTGTACCCGGTCATATCCAAGGACAAAGGTGATGTTTACTGCTTCCTAGCTTTCAGTGAGTGTCTAAGATTAATCTGTGATTTAAACTATAAAATTTTTCTCTGAATTAACCGAGCTTTGGTCATGGTATTCTTCCTATAACATTAGTGTCTATCTGTTACGCAAGCATATTCTTAAGGTTCATTCAGTCTTTGCCACCTTTTATTTTGTAGACTGTTCCCCAATGTAAGATATATATTGATAAATTTTTACTGAATGCCTTGAATTTACTAATATTCCTGCTATAATGTGCTAGTCTATATCCAATAAAAAACAAACTAAACGCATTTATCTTAGCATTCTCAGCCATTGTATACGAATGATTTCTAAATATTGCAGGTTGTAAATAGCTGGCGAAGTAAAGTGAATTTGTATTGTTCTGCTTAAATTTCTGTTTCCTACTCTCTTCACGACGATAAAAGGAACTATGTGTATGTTAGGTAATTTATTTGCTGCACATATTTTCAGGCAAAACTGGTGCAGAATCGTCAACCAAATTTCACCAAACAACAGAATGAAAATTACTGGTCACCAATGGAAGTACATGTTCTCATATATCTTTTGAAACTACAAGTTTTGTTATAAGAAAACTCAGCTATCTTTTGTATTAATAGCGATCAAAAGATCCGCTTATTATTTCCTACCTTAATCACTCTGAATGTGCTTACATTTATTTCAAAATTAGTGATAAAGTAATCACCTACTACAATGATCTATGATAAAAATATAAGTTTTATCGACTTGATTATATCCCTTTTTACAAAATTAGTCATATTATGCTATATTCAATTTAAAATTAGTGAATGTCAATTTTAACAACTTACTTTTAAATTTATCATCAAATCCATTGGAATTCATATCATGTGCTACCCTTTTCAATTTGTTTCTCTGAAGATCATCAGGAATTGGATAGTTGTTACGACTAAGAAAAGAACGATTTGTAGTTGAATGTTCACAGAGATTTTGATGTCTTGATCCCAATCTTTTCATTTCTTTGTGAATTCTGCCTGTTCTTGCGGTAGCTAAACAAATCATAATGATAATAATAATAATGTAAATGAAGTGTTGAAACTTGAGAGTTAAAATGAAAAATATGTATTCATCTTTAAAACTTGTCCACTTGTTAATTTGTCTATTTATTACCGATAATGTTAGTATCAATAGTGTTACTGCTCATACATGAGTGTCTCATACAGTTGATTACTGACTGACAAATATGCGAGAGACAATGTTAAAATGTATAATTCAACATTATATATAATGTGATATTAATCATTTTTAACATCAAAAGAAGGTTTTTCACACACTAACATGCATTTGTTTTTCTATGATGACTCCATTCTGCTTCAACTGCAATTACAATTGATCACTGGTAAGTTTGCATGATACATCCTAAATCAAAAAGGACAATGTACATAAACTATTTTGATTGGATTTTGAAAAATCGAATCTTCTGTTTACCAATATCTCCACTAAATTTTCATCAACTTTCCATCTCAAGGGATTCATTTGTTTCATTTTAATATCACAGTAGTGTATAATGATTTTGTAGATTAATTAAGCTTGATGAAATTGAATTACTTACTTGTATAATACATTTTGAACTAAACATTTCAGTTGCACAAAACTATGAAAATTTCCTGCTTTATTTATAGACTGAATTATGAATAAATTGTAAATTACAGATGATGAACCTAAAGTCAATTGTACAGAAAAATGTGGAATAGAACGCATCATTTCTTCACAATCCTACATAGTTATTCTTCTGATGTAACCAAATGTAATGTAAACTATATAACACTACTATTAGAATACTAAAAACCATACATTCTAAGTAATCTAGGTCATTGGAATTCGATGGCAGGAATTGCTTTCTAAGCGTGTGATTATATAACCCATGAGTAATCGTAGAATCTATTAAGTTAGGATATAAAGTTAAAGGTTAATGGAAAAATAAAAGTTTTTTTTTAAAAAAAAATGCAAGAAACTTCCATCACTTCATGAAAACATTTACAGCTCTTTCTGTGAGATGTTTCGTAATCTGTAAAGAAAGGAATTACAACGTTGGAATTGCGAGTCGTCAAGTAGATTTGACAAATAGAAATCCAATACATTTTGAATAGTATTGAAATAACGATTTATGATCAATAATAAGTCAAAACTAAATTATTTACAGACGTCACAGTTAATGTCATAAACATTAGAAACCTTATTTACTTTGGAATAATAATTTTCTATAGATTCTACTGTTATCAGAAGAAATATTTACATTTAGAAGCGAAAATAAACAGATAGCGCATTTTAAGTATCAGGCTTTCCTAATAGTTTCATGTAAATCATAGAAAATCAAATTTTCAGTAACATACAATGTACAGAAAACTATCGGCATAATAGAACATTTTATTTTTAAGTTAACACAATTGATTTTGTAGAATGAGTTATCTGGATCAATAGGGAATAGTCAGAAGATATTCATAAAATTGACTAATGTTAAAGTTTTTGTTTTAAAGTGTATTTATGAAGTAAAACGAAGATTTATGAGAAGAACATAGTAAGAACATAGTAAGCCAAATTCAACGATATCAATCACTCACATTTATTATTTCCATGTCCATTTTACGCTGTAAGAAATTACAAGAATGTGACCGAAAACTTGCTTGCAAAGTATTTTATACTAGAATTAAAACGAATTCGATTTGATAACAATGACAGTATTATCATGCTAGAGGTTGACAGGTCAATTTAGTAGTGACTGTGAATGTCATTTTTGATTGCATAAAAACACATTCAGTGGATAGTTTTACCGATTAGTGTAATGAGAAGTTGTTGTCGACAGCAGTAAAAATAACTGATTCATATAGAAACGAATAATGATGCGAAAAAAAATAAAACAAACACCATGTACCTATGCTTACTCTACGGTTGAAAATTTACAGCTTCAAACAAGTAGCTTTATGAATAACAAAAGAATATATTAGAACACAGTAAAGAAATGGTTCGTGTAAATTGTTTGCTACTTTCTACTGTTATACAATAAGCGGTATTCTTTTTGAAAAAGTGAACAGTAAAAATTATCAACATTTCGGCTGCATCAAATTCTGTAACACATCCAAAGATTTTTATTTCCCATAGGCATATAAATACATATAATATTTCTTGGCAAAAATGACTCGTAAACCCATTAAAATAGACCCAACAAAATCATATAAATGCATAGTAATCGTCTGTTTACTAAGAAAAAGGTTTGATATGGATTTCTCAGAAAGTTGTAACCTATGTAATCAAAGAAGTGATGAGTGAGTCGTGGATCCCATTCGATAAAAATCGAGCTATATTACATGAAGTTATAGTCCTTGAACAAACTGTACTTATCAGGATATCGTTTTTTTGTGTGACTATCATGTGATTATTGAAGTGGGGACAAATTATTGTTATTTTGACCAGCTTACATGTAGATATAGTAAACAAATTTTATTCCTATCTTAAGTTGTTGGAAAATCATAGTTGGCTATACGTTATAACTTTAGTTGCATTTTAGTCCAGTTATCGGTATTGATTAAGAACTATTTACATCTAAACTTAGTCAAATATGATCGAGCTCCATGAATTCTATTGATGTATTAAATTATGAATTCAGTCGAACCTCCTATTCTACGTGACCATAGTGTGTAAATTCATTAGAAATAATTAAAATCATTTAAGTGATGATCTTATGATTTTTTTTCAATTAGAGTTATGGAGATTAGTGTTTTTACATATTTGAAATCATCAACCCTGTCGGGTCTAGGCAGTAACTACCGAAGACAGATAGGTGAGGTCGAGCAAAATCCCTAGATCAATCAGAGTTAGACATTAACACCGGTTGATGCCGGCCCAGTGGTCTACAGGTTAGGCGTTCGCGCACAAAACCTAAGGTCACGGGTTCGAACCCTCCAGGGTACAGGAGTCGTGAATGCGCACTGCTAATGAGTTCCATACCAGGATGAAACAGCCGTCTTTCAGTTCTGCCAGGTTTCTAATGGTGCTCTAACAATGAGTGTTTGATGATTTTATGATTAACGAATAAATTTGGCCCATATAACGCACACAATTCTAAGTTTATTTATTTTTCAAAAAAATTGCCAGGAAGTATTCAACAAGATAAACCAATTAGATAGTAACTTAATCGACAGTAACAATCTATTTTTGTCTTAGTTAAATAGCTTGAATCCTTGTCACTCACATATTATTATTATTATTATTATTATTATTATTATTATTATTATTATTATTATTATTATTAATGATTCAGTAATCTTGTTAACCGATTGAGATTTCAACATTTAATATCACAGTTTTTAAAATCCTTAGTTTTCTAATTCTTATGCGACTTAAATGAAAAACACAACTTATTGGTAACCAAACACATTGGATATTGTCTGATAGTAAATATCTTTGCTTATATCCCTCTTGATAAGTTACCTTGTACCATTATATTATATTTTCAAAAAAGTTATTTATTGTTAGTATTATTATTATTACTATCATTGAATATTTACTCAACAAGTATTGTACTTGCTCATTTCCATTGTCTTTACTTTTTATGTCTTCGCTTGAATTAACTATAATATTACCAATGTACTCGTTACAGTATAAACTACACTTCAGAATATTTGGCTGTTATTGTAGTTTTACTGATCTGCTTATAAACGCAGTTCCATATGTATATATATATATATATATATATATGCTTACATACGATTTGTTGCCAGGATGTACTGTTCACCACCCAGTTACAGTGTTTATTGATCTTTCTTTCTTATTTTTTGGTGATAAAGTGTCGTTGAAGGTAGTTCTCTTTTTTTAATGCTTGGTTTTTATGATAGTCTTTTGCTTTTGTGTTTAAATGAAATGATCATTTGAAAGAGAAAAGAAATTGAAACAACAGCAACAACAACTTCAAATGACTTTTTCCAGTTGTGTTTTTGTGTTTTATTTCAGTCTATTTAATTTTCTTTCATTTAATTGAACTAATTGCTTATGGTTGGTTGTGTGTATATTGCTTTGTTTAGTATTTTTTGAATGTATGTCTATTAGGCTTGTTTGTCACCATTAAGTATGTGGATAATTATGCAGAATTCACTTTTAAATATCATATTCCTTCAGTTTGTCTCAATTGTTAGTGTATATTGTGCTTCTAGTCAAGTGGATCTCATTAATTGTTGAATTTTTCACTGAGACGCTAATTTTTGCTTTTCTTTTGTGTTTTGTTTTAATAAAGTAATTGCTCACTTCAATGTGCTTTAGTTGCTATTGTCTTGTTATTATTGAAAAAGTTGTCAGTGATGATCAGTGCTTTGTCACAATCTTCTTCATAATTATTCAATAAGCTCAAAGTTGTCTTTGGTTCATTTTGCTCTAATCGTTCAAATAATTTATAATGCATGCTAAATAACACCAAACTTAACTCTTTGAGATTATTTAGATTTAAACACTGAAGATTCTCATTCTATTAAAATTATCGTCAATGCTTACTTGCGGTGTGATACACTTAACCTTGGGGCTACCTACCTACACCTATGAGTTTTCAACTATTTAGCAACAAGATCTATGTAGATCTATTTAATTAGTGAATACACATCACTCCTAACTGAGTAAACGCGATTCATGATGGAGTACTTGAATCTTAGCAAAACTTGAGTGCTACATCGAATAAACTATAGGCAAATATCTAAACATGTTACCGCATATTTTCATATCCTACTCGGATTGGATTATGAATTAGATAATAACACTCTACTAAGATATTTCGCTCATTATTCTACATTTGGCCAAAAAAACCTGTCACACTAAAGTAGATTACAACCAACCGGAAACTGAACACTCTGTATGATTAATACACTGTCAGAACATCAAACAAAATACACAACACAACACAACACAAACTTCATCATACATTAATTATTAGTCCAATCAAAAAAAATAAAGCCGCATTCAAAGATTCATATTATGGTTGCTTTGATTGTTTCATGCAACGTATCAT